AGGTGAAGGCATCTTTAACACCAGATACACGTAGTGCGGTACGGCCATGAACTTGGCCAGAGCCGGCCGACCAAGTAGGGCATGGTAGGCGGTGTCGAAGTCGGCGACGTAGAAGTTGATATGCTCGATGCGGTAGTTGCTTGCCGTGCCGAACTGTACTGGTAGGGTAATCTCTCCGAGTGGTCTAGATGCCCTGCCAGGTACCACACCCCAGAAGGAGGAGTCCGAGGGTGTGAGATCTGTTATCCGAGGCCCAACTCCCTTAGGGCCTCGGCGAAGAGTAGATTCAAAGCGCTCCCACCGTCAATGAGGACTTTTCTAAAGAGTACCTTCTGGACAGTCGTGTCGAGGACGAGGGGAAAACACCATGTGTAGGGTATGTCCGCCCACTGGTCAGCCCTGCTGAAGGTGATGGGGACCTCAGACCATGGACGATAGCTGGGGTTGGCGGTGGTTTCCTCTGAAGCGACGGTGAGCACTCGTCGGGCGGCGAGCTTCCATTCTCTTCTGCTCTCGGTGGAGGCGAGGCCCCCGAAGATGGTGGCGACCACCTTGTCATGGTCCTGGAAGGCATTGTTATTGCCCCTAGGTGGTCGGCGGCCGTCGTTCCCGCCATTGGCGTCATCGTCCAGCTTCTTGTCCTAGAACTCCTTGGCCAAACCGAGGTAGTCTTTCATCTTGTGTTTAGCGTTCTTGTGCAGGGGGCATGGGCCATCGAGGATCTTCTTGTACTGCTCGTCATAGTTACGCTTGGCGCGAGGCTCATTGATGGCAGCGACGAAGTGGTCTAGCCGGTGGCAGCGATTCTGACCAGGCTTGGATCCTTCTGGCCAATCACGGCCGCTATCTCGGTGGAAACTGCGGTCGTCGTAACAGCGGTCGTTGTGTCATCGGTCGTCGGTGCGGTCGTCGTAGCGGCGAGGTGGGCGATTTGTGCCCGTATCTTCGTTAAAACGCACCTCAGCTTCCTCGGCGTCGGCGTACTGGTTGGCGGTCGTGATCATCTCGCCGATGCCTGTAGGCGGCTTTCGGTTGAACTTGGAACGGAGCTCGCGGTGATGAAGTCCTCGGACGAAGGTGGTGATGACCTCAGCTTCCGTGATGTTGGGAATAGAATTCCTCATCTTGGAAAAGCGTCTGATGTAGCTGCGGAGGAGCTCAGACGGCTTTTGGGTGATGCGGTTGAGATCATGCTTGGTGCCCGACTGCGTACACGTAGCCATGTAGTTGTCAGTGAAGACTTTCTTCAGCTCTTCCCAAGATCCGATGGAGTCCGGGGCAAGGCTTATGAACCAGCTCATGGCAGCTGGCGTGAGCATGACGGGGAGATAATTTGCCATGATGTTGGTGTCTCCTCCGGCGGCGCGAACGGCAGTGGAGCAAGCCTACAGCCACTGAGTTGGATTCATCCTTCCTTCATAGGGCTCGACCCCGGTGATTTTAAAACTATTGGGCCACTGGAGTGTTCGGAGCGCCCTGGTGAAAGCAGGAGGCCCTTTTGGGTTGTCGGCGGCGTTGTCTGCAGCGTTGCCGGCGGTGATCGGCTCCAGAGCTGAGTCTAGATTACCGTACTCTTGCTCGTACTCCTGGCGGCGGCGTACTTCTTCTTCATGGCGGCCGAAGCGACGTTGCTCGATACGTTGTCTTGCATCCCGAAGGTTACTGAGGTGCACTCGAGCTTCCTGTTCGACCTCTTGATCATGCTGGCGATGATGCTCGGCGCGGTGGCCCCCGACTCCCCCTTGGAGAGGTAGTGACTGGTCGGCGAACCGGCTTTGACTGGGGCGGCGGTTGGATCTAGGCACAACTGATCGGCGAATCATGCTCGTGGAGCATGAAGGTCTCTGATCTTCTTAGATCTCATTAACTTGATAGTGTGCCGCTTTAAGCATAGCGGCGACCTTGGCGAGCTCGGGCGTCTGCGGGAGGCGGACGAGCTCTTTAGCGGCCACCGCCAGATTGGTACTTGGAGTCTTGAAGACATCGTGGCTGTCAACGCGGAGGAACTCTTCGTCGAGGTTGCGATGGAGCGGCCTTCCTTGCGATTCGAATTGGTTGTCACGAGCGGCCTCGGCCATCGCAAGGGCATGCTCGTTATCACGACGTTGTGCGCGGTTGATGTTCCTGTTTTCACGAGCGGCGCGTTCCTCATCGGTTTCACCATTCTGAGGGGGGCTGTCGATGCTAACGTTGAAGATTGCACCACCCCGGAAAGGCAGGAGAGGGAGTTGCTCGGTGAAGGTTTCGACGAGGGTCTCCGTGGAGCCCTGGGATTCAGAGTCTGGATTTTCCTCCAGGATGGTTTGGAGGGATGCTCCGGGACCTCGGCTGGCGTGCAGCATGTTGACAGTCGATGGGAGTTGATCGACGATCTGGTTAGCGAGAGGATGGATGTCCCCCACCTGGTCGACGAATTTGCCCCTCAGGGCGTCTTGGTAAGTAGCGGCGGTGTTGGCGAGCCCAAAGGGCAGGGCCGTAACCTTCGGAGTTTGCCGAGCAGCTTCCGATAGATCTGGATCGGAGGGTGATCGACGCTGAACGAAAGTGTCTAGAGCCGACTCGACGACGGAGTGGCAATCGACGAGCTTCAGACCGACCCGATCGATGGACTCGATCAGATCATCATTGTTGATGTGCCTCCTCTGGTAACGAGGAAGCAAACGGCGAGTCGTTGATGAAAACGACCTCGGATGTAACTCCAAAATCGGATCTACAGTCGTAGGTGCGGGGGTGGTTGGTGCAGAATAGATCTGCACCGGCTCGAGAAGCTCTCCGACTCCATCAGCGTTAATGACCCACGAGATGGATCCGAGCATGAAGATCTGGCCGGGCTACGGGAGGGGCGAAGAGCCTGCGGAAAAAACCATCTTGTTCGACAAGGAAACAACACGCACACCCCTACCTGGCGTGCCAACTGTCGATAGAATATCATCGGCAGTACTCCGAGGGGTATCCCACGAAGGTAGATTGATCGGTAGAGGGTGTGAGATCAAGAACAAGAAGGCAACAGAGACACACGAGTTAGACAGGTTCAGGCCGTCAGTATGACGTAACACCCTACTCATGTGGTCTGTTGGTTTGTGTTAGCTATCGTATGATATGCCGTGATTCTGGAGGGGGTCCCTGCCCGCCTTATATAGTCTGGGGGGCAGGGTTACAAGTCGATTAGATCTGAGAGATAACTAGAAAGTAATAACAGATTACAAGAATCATGGGATCATACGTATCCTAACAGATCTCGTAGTATCTTCAGGATATCTTCCTTATGTCTTGCGGGAGGCGCCGAGCGGAACCGTGCCCTATAAGGCTTCATCTTGTGGGGCGGGCCACCCCTGGGGCACAACCCATGTGGTCTGCCGTGGGTATCCGGGGTCGTACCCCCCACAATGATCACACTCACTAAGTGTCTCGATCACCAAAACAAAATGGCTCCTACCATTTATACCTTTGCCTTGAGCCTTTTGTTTTTCTCTTTCTTCTTTTCAAGTCCAAGCACTTTATCATCACCATGGTATTGCCATCATCATGTCATGATCTTCATTTGCTTCACCACTTGGAATGTGCTACCTATCTCATGATCACTTGATAAACTAGGTTAGCATTTAGAGTTTCATCAATTCACCAAAACCAAACTAGAGCTTTCAAGCCCGCGGGGCGACACGCCAGGAGGCGGTCCAAAGAAAGTGCCAGCAGTGGCCTTGCCAGGCCAGGTGAGAGCGCCGTGTCCATGTCGGCCGCCGCCGCCAGACAAAAGTGGTGGTCCCCGACGCGGCCTCTGATCGTCGGTGGGCTACCATGGGGAGGAGCAGGATGAGGAAGCAGACGCGGTCGAGGAGGTAGGTGGTGTAGACGCGGACGAAGGCGAAGTGGTCCCACGACACCATGTGCGCCTCGTCGCAGAAGTCGAGGAGCAGCGTGAGCACAGGCTCCCCCGCGCGGCGGCCAGTGAGGGTGGGGGTGGAGCAGCTCGTGGAGGAACCGCGTGCAGCCCTCTCCGTCGACGTCCTCGGCAGGGTCGGGGTCATCGTCTGTGGCGGCGAGGCAGTGCAAGAGCGCGAGGCACTTGGTGGCGACGACGTAGTCGCGGGTCCTGGAGAGGCGGCGGGCGATGGAGGCGACGCAGGCAAGCGCCGCGCCCGTGGCGGACGCGAGGTGGAGCACCTTCCGCGCGTGGCGGTCGTCCGAGGTCGCGTCGTCATGGGAGGTGGCCCGCACGATGCCCACGTCGAGGTCCAGTGCCACGACGCCCGTCACCCGCGCGATGCTGATGGTCGCCTGGTCCTTGACTGCGCCCAGCGCCTTACGGAATGGATATGGCGTGGCGCAGGCGGTGCGCAAACTGCTCTTCGCCGCCCGGTGCTCCTCTGTTGGGGTCTTGGGGATGGGGAATGAGAGAGACAGAGAGGATACTGATGAGAGGACGGGGATTGGGAGGGTACGAGTAGATAAGGGGTATTGTTGTCCTTTGGTCTTACTGTAAAATGTTTTGTTGTTTTTTTATTTTTTTATTCTAGATACAACGAACAGAGTTAAAAGTAAGGGTAAACTGAACCTTAGTAGTTACAAAACAGGGGTAAAATCACAACGATGACAAAAACGAGGATAAAATCATAATTGGACATCAAAGTAGGGGCAAGAACACAATATTCCCAAATATATATAATTGTGGTAATACCCATCAATCAAAGATATATGTTCAATCAAAACAAGGCCCATTCATCACAATTTGGTTTGCGGCCCAAAGAACTAGCCCGCGGGCTGCGTGTTGCGAGTTCCCACTCCCCACGAGATCCGCTGTCGGCCGTCCATCTTCTCCAGGCAAATCCCCCGACCGCATTCCTTCTTCTTCCCCTCCCCGACTCCCCCGTCCCCGGGAGCAAAGCGTCTCTCGCTAGCGCGTTCAGTAGAAACCCTAAAAAAAACCCCCCCGCCTCCTCGCCTCGCCCGCGGAGCCGCACTCCCCTCGCCGGGGGTAGGGGCTACGGGGCTCGCCGCCCGCCATGGACGCGTTTCGGAAGCAGCTGGACGTGCTCATGGGCGCCAACCGCAACGGCGATGTCGAGGAGGTGAACCGCAACTACTACGACCGCGACGTCTGCCGCCTCTTCCTCGCGGGCCTTTGCCCCCATGACCTCTTCCAGCTCACGGTATCCTCGTTTTCCCCTTTGATGTTTGGTTTGGGAATTTTAGTTAGGTTTTCCGTTTTGGGAATATGATATTATCTCCTTAGTTTTTTAAAAACTCATGGATGGATGAATGGAATGTTGGGTTGGTAATGTTCCCATGTGGTAGTACGTGGAACTAGTTCAGTTTTCAGGGTAAAAATTAGATGTAGTTCTCTTTGTGCTGCTGTCTGACCTAATTATCTGGTGATTGCAGAAAATGGATCTCGGTCCTTGTTCTAAGATTCACTCCCTTCAACTGCGGAAAGAGTATCCTTCATTTTACATCATTACCTTTGTTTTTTCTTCTCTTAGATGCTGTTTGGTTCGGTGTTTTTGCCCCCGCAACGCTTCACACCGTTATCAGATCACGTAACTTATGTTTGGTTAGACTGAGCCGGAATGGATAACGGAGGGATCAGATACGGGCAAGTGCAATGCGGTTACCGCTCAACTCTCGGCGTTATCTGATTACGCGTGCGCAGGAGCGAGCGACTCCCGTGAGTTATCCCGCATGCCGGCATGCGTTCGCTGCTTAGGCAAATAGAAACCGCTACATATGCCAACCATATTTTCCTCAGCTGTTGGTAGTTATGAAGAAGCGAAAGCAAAGGGAACACAGAATTTTGATAGAGAACTCGAGGATATGATAGAAAGGCTCATTGTGGAGTGCGACCGGAAAATTCAGAGGGCCCTGAAACGGCTTGCGGATGATGATGCCAATGCTGCTATTGCAATATCCGTCTCTGAGGTTACTCTGGTATCTGCCAGTACTCACTTGTATATCAATTGCAAAAGTTTATTTGTAACGGCAACTCTTGATTTGAGCTGTATATTGATTATATTGTTAATGTTCACAGACGGATGACATACTGCAGCTGTCAAAACAGATCAAGGAAAAAATGATAGAAGTCGATGCCTTTGGTAATTCATCTATATTTTTATTTTGCATTTTTTTGCCCACTCTTCTGTTTGCTACATTTTCAAAATAATAGATCGAGGCAGATTCAATAATAAGTTCAATTATTTTGGGAGGACTCATAGCTTCTAGGGATTAGGTGCAATTGTGTTGTTACACAATAGGGAGTTAGCCCATGGGGGTAGCACTACTAACACCATGATTGTTACACAATAGGAAGTTAGCCCATGGGGGTAACACCAATTTATGTTTGATTAGTGAAACATAGATGTTGTAGTTTGGCCTCAAGTTTAAGCTGCAAATAGCTGAACTAAATATCGTCAATTCTCATTCAAATGTACTGACAGATTTTGAAGGGAGAACTGATGACAAAATAAAGGCCCAGGAAGTAGTGGAAGAACTCAGAGCTAAAAGAGCTGATATGCAGGTATTAATTTGATTCTTTGAAAAGTAACTTTTTTAATTCTTATATTGATATTATTGTTCCAGTACAAATTATTAAAATAGTAGTACTTTAGTTTTAATGTGGTAATTGTTTTTCCTATTTTGCTGCAGGCTACCCTCTTGCTTGATGCTTTTAACAAGGACAGAGCTTCATTAACTCAGCCTGTTCCACCTCCTCCTCTGGCAGCAGTGCCACCACCGCCTCCACCCGATGCTCGTACTCAAGAAATGATCAATGAAAAGCTTAAGAAAGCTGAAGAGCTTGGTATGGAAAGCAATGTGTTGAATTGCTTTACTTTGCAAAGTAGCATGGATTAGTGGTTTGTTTCTTATAGGTGTATCTGTATTTTTAAACTGGGGCTAAGTTCGGCCGATCTTTTCTCCTAGTATATCTGTATCATGAAGTCAACCACTCAGTTAGGTAATATAAAATCAAATAGACTAACGATATGCACTAGTGAGGTTTTTGGCAAAAGTGAGAAGCTGAGGAGATAACTTTCATGAGAATTTTTAAATGACATAACATAAGGCTATAGTTGGTATATGTGGCACATTTTGATTTCTACTAGACCTTTTCCAGAACATAGGCAAGTTTTCTGTAACTAGCTCTTTTGAAAATTGGCCACCTAGTCAGACTTATTATAAATATAATGTTATTATATTTTAATGGTTATCGTTTTGGTAGGTGAACAAGGCATGGTTGATGAAGCTCAGAGAGCTTTGGAAGAGGCAGAAGCTCTGAAAAAGGTAGCCAAATAGCCATTACTATGTGCACCTTAAGTTAGTATTTTTAATGTTCCTTTCCTTTTACCAGCCAGTTTAAGTAGTTTGTTTACCTTGCTGTGAGCTGTCTCAGACAAGGGTTTATGACACTGGCATTATTACGTTTATCTTGTTTAATGATCCTTGACTGATGGATAACTTATTTTTGACTCTTATTATTAGCTGGCGCCACGTCCGGAGCCACCTTCAGACCCTTCTAAATATACCGCCGCTGATGTTCGGATTGTGAGTTTCCACACAACCAATAATTATTTCGAATTAAGTTGTCATTGTTTGATAGCATTAGTTTGCGTAGTATCGTCATCTATTTTTTCTGTTAGCATCATTGGATGATAGCTTTTGTGGCTTATGAGGTAACCCTGGTACAAAGGCCTGTTCAAATCGGTGGCTTGAGTGATGCTGACATAATTCTTGTATTGTTTTGTTTAACGCAGATTCAATGTATATTTGTGTTTCTGTAGCCTAATCATCTAATGGGAAGACTGATTTTAAACATAAGTGCAATCGTGTGTTGAAAGTAAATTAACTTGCATAGTTCACATTTCCTGAATGTTTTGATCAGATATTGTTCTAGAATCCTCTGTCAGTTTATTAAGCTCTTAAGTGCACAGTTAAATCTTGGCGCACTGGAAATTTATTCCTGTCATGCATGTACCTTGTACCAGCACATTTCCTCCACAAAACGATTCTTTCTGCAACATGTGCATTACGTACCTAGGGTTTCAATGTCTGTAAGGCACTTATTCAGCATCAACCCTTTGTGGCTCATGTTTTTAAATGACCTTGTTGTTATGTGCCTCATGTTTAGATCATACATTGCTATGGATTTCTTGGTAGGAATGGCTTGCACATGTAATTGAATTTACCGTTAGAGGTGCTTGTGGTCTGCACTGCCTTTTTAGGGTTTAACTGTTTAAGGGTCGCTGCTATTTTGTTACATAATTTTTGTCTTATTATCTGTATCTATTTACATCATGATGCAATGCTAGATACATAATTGCTAATGGTGCTTTGTTTATTTTATAGACTGATCAAAAGTTACGCCTCTGTGACATATGTGGAGCATTTCTGAGTGTATATGACAAGTAATGCTTCTAGCTCTTTGTACTCCCAAAAATATCTGAAGATGTCAAATTGAATATTTATCCTAAGCTGAAAATATCTCAACAGCGATCGACGTCTTGCTGACCATTTTGGAGGGAAACTACACCTAGGCTACATGCTGATTCGCGAGAAACAGAAAGAACTTCAGGTAAATTCCTGCACGCCCATGCCCAAAGTACAAGTAAGGTACTGGAGATTTATGAAACAGATTAATAGTTCCAGGGTTTCCAAACCTTAAAGACATAAATAGAACAAAATTCACATTCAGTTTGCCCATCATCAGAATATGATAATCTTGATTTATTCCCTTATCCTCAATCTAAATCTATCAAGGTGCAATTTATCAGGTGCTGAGTGTAATGTACCATTTTCTGCTTTAAAGAGTTACTCTGTTTTGGGCCTTTTGGCATCTGTGAGTTTTCTTATCTCAAGAGCCTCAAGGTTCTCACCTTCCCTATATATTATTTGATTTCTCACATTGCCGGGCACTATGGTTGTTACGATAGTCATTACAGGAATTAGTCCATGTTGCGTGATTGGAATCTCATGCGATCATCTTCATACCCATGGCTACAACAGTCACTGTCTGTTGACAAATGTAAGCATAGGAGCGTGCAGGCCATGGTATGAAAAATCATGTTTACTTAATTGTGACAAACTGCTCATGTGTCTGCTTAGTATTATGTTGGGCAGAAGCTGGAGGTTGCTTTTCTACTGCCTGAGCCATATTATGTAGACCAGGTGATAAATAGTACTGGTTAAGTTATCCTGAAAGCACATTCCTTTTGCCAACATTTGCTGTAAGTGACAACTTGTTCTGTTTTTTTTAATCTGCTACCTCCTTCATAAGTTTGCAAGATATATTTTCCTGAAGCAGCCTTGCCTGTAAAGTATCACTCGCCCTTTCTTTTGGAACGTTGTCTCTGATTTTAAGTTTGCCAAAATATCACCATTTGTCCTGTCAATAAATAAAATATACTATGCCATCTTGCAGGAGCAGAGAAATAAAAGGAGGACGGGCAAAACTGAAGATGATAGACGGTATGGTATTCCATATTCCACATCCGTATTATTTTATAGCCAGCATCATGGTGGTTATCTGAAAGCATGTATTTGGCTTTTTTAGATCAAGAGAGCACAGCAAGGATCGCAACGGTCGGTCATCCAGGGATAGAGATTCAGAAAGGAGAGACAGAGTTGAGTCTCGAGATGGTAGAAGAGATTATGATAGGGATCGTGATAGACGTCACGATAGGGATCGTCGCCATGACCGTGATCGGGATAGGGATTATGAGCGCTCCCGCGGACATGATTCAAGGAGAAGAGAGCGTTCACGCTCCAGGGAGCGCAGCAGGTATTGCTGAATAATAGGCGACTTGCATGTTAGAGCTACTTTCTTAAGTTCTGTGCCTTTTGATTTGAAACCATTTTACCTCACCTCGTTGACTAACCCAGGTATTTGTTCCTAATTTCAGGCGCCATGAGAGATACTAAATGTTGCTCCATGGCTGACAGATTTAGGAGTGCTGGCGTCTGTTCAAGATATGGTTTGAGTTGTGGTTTGTATCTTCTGAAGGTTCCTGCTCGAGAAATTCGAAAGTTAATCTTGGTGCATTATGCATCATGTCGTATCGTCGTACTGTTTAGTATACCAATTTTATATGCCGAGAACAATCGCATCAAAGGAAGCTTTGGAAACTGACTTGCTTGACGCTAAATGCGCTTGGAGTGTTAAGTATTTAAACGTGTCTGAAATCAAATGAAGTTGTACTTGCGGACCAAATGGCTTTACTCTAATTCGTGCAATTTCTTTCTTTATTATTATATGCTGGGCTTAACCTTAGCCGTCTCTCTGCACCCGTCGAGTCGTCGTATCGCTCATTCCCACGAATTACACTGTACATTGTTGCACTGTTGTAAATTTACGCTGGATTTGTTCAACAGAGGGCATGCTCTGTCTGATCATCATTTGAATCTGCGTACGTGCACACGAACGCCACCTATGCTACGAACTTTACCTGGAACATGATGGTTTTGGCAGGCAAGTGATCCTTTGGTGAACGACGACCAGGCGTCCATTTTCAAGAACCACCAAGAAACAGACCAAAACATTTTCCCTCATCAATCATGGCAAAGGCCAAAGGAGGCATACATCTACTCGCAGTACAGCAGATTTCTTGTATGGTATGAACAAAATATTCAAGGCCTGATGAAGCTTTCCATCCCACCGCCATTGCGTCTAGACGGCCTTCCGCTGGCGGACCTTGAAGCTGGTGGAGCGGATGACGTCGTCGTCGGCGTTGAGCCTCAGCTGCAGGGCGTCCATGGACTCCGGCTTGGTGAAGTAGGTGATGAGGAGGTAGATGCCGTCGTAGTAGGTGGACGGCAGCCCGGTCCGGCTGTTCCTCTTCCTGATGCTGTATGCCAGCGGGATGACGCCCCGGTTGAAGACCTCCACGTACATGGCGCCGCCGGCGACGAGCAGCTGCAGGCACAGGGAGGAAGCACCAAGCTGAGCAGGAATGGAATGGTACGCAAATGGCAGGGGGTAAGGGTGCTGTGAACATATTATGACCAGACAGGCTAGTGACTAGAGTACTTACAGTCACAAAATTCAGGATAGAATAGCGATTAACATACATGGTGAATTCAGGATAGAATGGCAATTAACTTACATGGTGATTGATGGATAACCATTACTGCACTACACTAATGGGTGCAGCAGAAGTTTATTGGGAAGGAGGAACACAATTGATCCGACGGATGAAAAATTCAAGATCATCTCGATTGAGCTATATATAGCTTACTAACTAATGTCATAATCTGCTACCGTGTGCCTAATCTTGTACTGCAAAATGTTATTGTGAATACTTCCACAAAACTATGACTTCGAATCTCTCTGCATTTGCCGTTTTCTATACCCATTTTGTGTGCTTAGAAATCCTAATATGGAGTGGAGGCAATGCGATTACCTCCTCGTAGCGCTGGATGAAGGCGAGGCGCTCCTCCTCGGACATGTCGGGGCGGAGCACGACCATGGTCTCGTACTGGCGCAGGCCGGGCGGGCAGGGCGGCATCTCGCGCTCCTCCAGCGCCAGCGCGGCCTCCGCGGCCGACATCCCGAGGCCGCCGCCGCCGAGACCCAGCCCCGGGCCGAACCCCGACTCGTCGCCGACCGCCTCCTCGTCGGCGCCGCCGGCCGCGGACATCGCCGAGCCGCCGTAGAAGGACGCCGCGTAGCCGGTGGAGACCGCGCGGGTGCGGGCGCGGGCGGAGGGGAGGCGCAGCAGAAGCGCGGCGGACGGGCAGGGGCGGAAGTGCGGGAGCGCGGCGGAGGCAGAGGCGGAGGTGGAGGAGAGCGGCAGCAACGCCATGGGTGGCGGCATTGGAGGGGCCAGGGGAGCCGAGCAGCAGGTGGGGGCGAGAGCGCGGAGGAGAGCGGGAGGAGGCGCTGACGCTGTTGGTGTCGCGTCCACTCGACAGATAAGGATAGGACGCCACGCCCTGTTTGGAGTTTGGACGGGCTTTCATTTTGGTGAAAAACGGCCGCGTTTCAAACAGTTTTCGGCTGTGGGTTAAACCAAAATTGTTTGCTACAGTTTCAAAAAAAGTTTGCTACTTTAACTTTGTGTACAATAAGTTGAACTAGTGGCAGAGGTTATTTGAACTACGTATATTTAGAGCAATTCCAAGAGACTCTTTATATCATTTCTAATTATTAGAAATAGAGATTTTAAGTAGAAAAAAATAAAAAGTTTCTAAGTGATTATATCTAAATATAGCCATATTCTATTCTAGATTTCGTTGTACAAAGATAAAAAAACGAGAATAACACTCTAGAGTGCACACAAAATATAGAAGAATTGTTGGTGAGTGAAAAGATATAGAAAATGATTTTTATACAAATAGCTCTCTAAATAATGATTTAGACGGTGAGTTGTACCAAATCTCTCGAAGATGCTCTTATGCATTTCTTCTATGTTTCATGTTTTTGTTTTTTAGTGCAACTTTGGTTATTGATGTGTTTTTATCTTCTTTTGTGAATTGTCAATTGTTCTTTTAATTGTACTAATTGTTATCTAAGGTTGTCGTAGGAAAATTTAGAAAAAAAAACACAGCAACTCTTTCCAAAGTTGATAGCGCAACTAGAATTTTTTAAAAGCCCGGACGGTTTAGTAGGCTAAACAATAGAGTAGGCATAATCCACTACAGCAGCCAGTGGCTTCCCCGAGTGCCAGTTGTACTTGGGGAAGCCTTCTCCGAGTGCAACACTTTGAGAAGACCTTCTGGCTAATCCTTATTCGGCAAAGGCGTCTTTCTCGGGTGTCGAAAATCGTGCACTCAGCGAAGGCTTTGCCGAGTGCTGTGTTGGCACTCGGGAAAGATTTGACGCCGTTGGCCGACGGCCGACGCTGTTTTCTTTTTTTTTTTATTTTCTTCCCCGAGTGCAACACTCGGGGAAGATTTACACTCGGTAAAATAAAAATGCGAAAAAAACCCGAAAATAATAGCAAAAGAACTCAAAAATTTTTTTCGGGGGAAGCCGCCACCGGCCAGTGCGCGCCCGCCTCCATTGAAGTCGCTGCATTTTTTGCGCAAAATTCGCGGCTAATGCGGCCGGTGGGATTCGAACTCACGACCTCTCCCTCACGTGTCTGCTGCTCTACCACTGCACTACATGTCACTTGTGTCTAGATTCCATTATCTATCCTTATATATTATACTAAACCGAGAGTAAATTGCTTATTTGAGGCCCTAAACGAATTCAAATTAAAAAGTGATAAACTACAAAGTTTCATAACTTTTCGAGATGTACAATTTTCATTTAGGAAGTTTTTCCATCCGAGGTCGTTTGAAAAATTCGAATTTCAAATTTGAGAGATTCAAACGTAATTTTGCATGATAAGATGATTTCAAATCAAAAAGTTGTCAACTACATAGTTTCATAACTTTTGGAGATCTATAATTTTCATTTAGGAAGTTTTTCCATCCGAGATCTTTTGAAAAATTCAAATTTTAAAATTTTCTTCCCCGAGTGCATTCCCTGGCACTCGGCAAAGAGGTCCTTTGCCGAGTGCCATGATAGGGCACTCGGGGAAGCCAGCCTCTTTGCCGAGTGCCAGGGTGCGACACTCGGCAAAGCAATTTTTTTTAGTTTTAACGGCGTGGACGGGCTGAACCGTCAAGTAACATTTTTCTTTGCCGAGTGCCGCTCTTCCCCGAGTGTTGCACTCGGGGAAGAGGGCCTTTGCCGAGTGCCGCTCTTTACCGAGTGCTAGGCACTCTGTGGCACTCGGCAAAGCCTCTCTTCCCCGAGTGCTATTCTTCCCCGAGTGCAACACTCGGGGAAGATTGGCTTTGCCAAGTGCCCGATTTTTGGCACTCGGGGAAGCCTGCGACACTCGGGGAATTTTACCTCTCCCGTAGTGATCTTGTCTAGGTAAGAGCTACACAATATAAGATCTAGTGAAGTTGAACGCCGAAGAGCCCGTGTAGAGGCCTGCCAATGCACATAGTTATGAGCACATAACACCATTCATATATTACTCCCTCCGTTCTAAATTATAAGTCGTTTTGACTTTTTGGTTCATATATTTTGCTATGTATCTAGACATATTATTATATCTATGTGCATAGAAAAATGAATGTATCTAAAAAATTAAAGCGACTTATAATTTGGAACGGATGAAGTATATCTAAGTTCTATCAGCCAGTCCTCCCTCTGTCACGTTTTTAAGGGGCGAACATGTTTTTGAGATAGGTAGGCGGTGCAAATTTGGTTACTAATGTGTGTTTACGTCTGACAGCGAAGTCACGTGATAATAGTCAAAGCCTCCATTCGTTCTAAGTGGTAATTTGTTTAGGCTGTCTTTAGATACAGAGCTTTTACTATACGTCTAGATATATATCATGTCTAAATACATAGTAAACTCTATGTATCTAGAAAACCCAGAGTAACTTATACAATTAAGAATAGAGGGACTAGTACTGCAAGTTCATTCAATTATTTTGAATTCATCAGTCATTAGCATGCATGTGTAAGGGAGTTAATACAACATTATAGTTAATTTCATCGTGGATGACGTTATCGTGCGTGAAAATAGCATAATACTTCTTTCTCCTTGCTCGCACCGCCCCCACCCTCATTCTCATCCTGACCGACGGTTGCACACTCCTCTGCCTCACACACCCCTCTTCCACTGCCCACTCCTACGCGCTTCCACTACCGGCGGTTCCTGCCACCTTACCGCGCCATCCACCTCCTGTTATTGTCCCTATCGGGGACCAATACTAGGGTACCCGAAGAGAATGAGCTAATAACCATCAACATTGATTCATCCGAGCAGTCAAGAGCGCGACTACAGCTCCAACCGACCCCCAGGTGCGCAAGCGCCGCCTCGCCAGGCCTTTGGGGGCGGGATCCGCCTCGCCCGACACCGAGGCCATGGGCTCCGCCTCGCCCGACCTCTAAGGGCTGGCTCCGCCTCGCCCGGCCTCTGAGGGTGGGCTACGCCTCACCCGATCTCTAGGGACGGGCTCCGCCTCACCCGACACCGAGGCCACGGGCTCCGCCTCAACCGACCTCTGAGGGCTGGCTCCGCCTCGCCCAGCCTCTGAGGGCGGGCTCCGCCTCACCCAACCTCTGGGACGGGCTCTGCCTCGCCCGACCCTTGGGTTTGCGCTCCACCTCGCCCGACCTCTGAGGGCGAGCTTCGCCTCGCCCGACATCGAGGCCGCGGGCTCCGCCTCGCCCGACCTCTGAGGGCTAGCTTCGCCTCGCCCAATCTCTAAGGGTTGGCTCTGCCTCGCCCGACCTCTCAGGGTGGGCTCCGCCTCGCCCAGCCTCTGGGGAGGGACTCCGCCTCGACCGAACCCGAGGCTGGGGGATCTGTCTGGCTCGACGGAGACCAATACCATAGCCAACCACTCCAGGTCCAAGCGAATAGGCCTGGGTCAAAGCTATGACACCAGGGAGGTGACCGGCACACCCCAATATAACCAGTGGCCGTGATGGGCCATACCTGGGGATTCACATCAGGAACAGCGTCGGGCGTACCGGTGCTATTCTGCCTAACCCTCGTACGAGCACTGACATGCGCGTCAGTTCACCATGATGTCCGCTAGGACGGAGTGGAGCACCACGACCTGGAGACGATGCCTACGCATGGCGCTAGTGACGAACAGGGCCGCGATGTGGAGCTATCCCTGTTGACGTCTACAGGGTCGATGGGACCCGCGTGAAGGAAAAGAAGGACCCAACGATCCTAGAGGACTTCTTCTCCTTCTCATTTTTCTCTTTTTCCTTCCACTGTAACCCGTGCTTTCCCTTGGCCTATAAAAGGGAAAGCAAGGTGTCCCATGAAGGGGACAGGAACCCATCAAACCCTGAACCGATCAGAACACACAAGCACACAGCCAGGAAGCGACCGAGCTCTCGGCACCCGTTCACTCCTCTCACCAGAGACTTGGGACCTGTCCCTCTCTCGACCATTTGTAACCCCTACTATGAACTTCCAGTGCTAGTAACATGAGCAGCAGCAACGAACTGGACGTAGGGACATTCTGCCCGAATCAGTATAAACCTCGTGTCCTCTTAGCACACCATCCGAGCTAGACGCGCAATATTAGAAATTTACTAGTTGGTGGCAACTCAAAACACCGACAGTTGGTGCACCAGGTAGGGTCCTTTTACGCGTCTCGACATCGACACCAGGCCTCGGATGGCTAGTCGCAACGTCAGCTGGGTCCCGGGAGCACACGTGTGTTTCGGGGACATGGACTTCATCATCACGATAGAAGGAGAGTTGGCATAGGCTCCCGCCGCCGTCCAACCTCTCCACTCCGCCGGCCTCGGTGTGATCGCCGAGGCGCTGGAGGAGCTACAGCTGCACGCATCGGAGGCCCGCACCCTCGGGAGCTACCAACTCCTCGGCTTCGACTACAGGAGGTTAGTGCACCAGCTCGGCGCCTTCCTAGGACCCCGACCGTCCCGAGAGGACCTGCGCCACCTCACCTTTTCGTTCGCCAATGTCATGGCGTAGCTTACCAGAGGAGAGCCGCTCTCCCCGACAGCGCTCTCGTCTGGTCTTCGCAACGCCGCGGAGACCGTTGGCCACCTTGTGGCGCAACGCACGCCTCCATCCTCCACGAACGACAAGTACATGGGGATAACCGAATATGTCGTGGAGTCTTTTCACGACCTCCTCGTAGGAGAATCAGAGTTGCCCTCCAGCTCTGACTCCAGCAGGGGGAGCCATCACCCCTCTCGTGAGTGTTTTATGGTGGGTATCCCCGAGGGACACGTCGAAAGCATCCACAAGGAAGAGGCTACCCCAACGAACGACCTCGGCGACAAGGTCGGGGATGTAGGGTC